TATTAATGTAATTAATTTGACGATGGAATGAATAATTAAATAATAGTGATAATAATGTACCGATTGACTAGACTTACATATAATTTGAAGACTTTTTTAATTTTGTTAATCTAATGTTATATTGTATCGTGAATGACATATCTTCGTAAATTGATAAAAAAATATTTTTGCATGCCTTCTGGTAAAATATGGTGGAATCTATACTATATATTTGTCACCACATTCTGTATCACCCATATTTGCAAAATAAAGAAATTCATTCATTCATTCATTCATTCAAGCTTTTACTTTTTATTAAAAGCTTTATTTTTCAGTCAGCTGTAGAGAGCTTAGAAACTTTTTTTCGCATTTCTCTTTCATAAAAGCCATGATAGCTCAAGGACTAAGCGCTCTTTTCGCGTAGCCCTGCCACTGCCAATATGCGGCCAAGAGTGGTAGTGGCGGTGTAAGAATATCCACTACCCCATATCATCCCGTGGGTGTCGTAAGAGGCGACAGAGAGAAACAAATCAGAAGATGGGCAGCAGCGTCTTCCTAATAACCAACCGAACACACAGTCTACCTGATGGTAAGTGGTTGCTGTGACATCTAGATATCTCCTCGATTATGAATCAAAATGCAAATGCAGTGTCACCCTTGAGGCCTAAGTGGGAATGCCTCATTTCCAGTAATAAGGGTATCCGATTCTCTACACTCACCATGCGAAACACAGCAGCGTTAAGCTGGTATTTTACGCTGGTATTCTGTGAGAGCGTGGTCCTTCCCCGGTCGAGCCAACTCAATCGTGCTACAACCTTAATATAGCTGCAGCATGGCTCTACAAGGGCGACACTAAAAGTTTTTAGAACTGGCCACTCGTAAACGATATAATAAAAAAATAATTTCAAAATTTGAAAATCGAAGTCTTTGCCAATATTATTGTGTATGTATTTTATTAATTTGTCATTTGTTCACGATTTGGCGGCAAATTGAAAATTGTCTGTGTTACTTCAGCATGAATTTAACGCGAGAATATTTTCGTACAATGATTTTTTACGACTTTCGATGTCATTTAAGTCAACAAAAAAGTATGATAGACTTCGATTGGCCTTTCACGATGAAGCCCCATCTCGTGCCACTGTTTACAACTGTTTTAATGAGTTTAAACGTGGTTATACTAATCTCACCGATGATCTGCATGAGGGACAGCCTTCTACGGCGACGACTGAAGATAACATCAGTGTTGTGCGGCGTATGATAGAGACTGACAAAAAGTGACTTATAAGCAGATTCGGACAAGTTTAGGCATCGGTATGAGTCAAGTGCACAAAATACTCCAGGAACATTTAGCGTTCAGGAAGCTTTGTGCCGGGTGGATACCTCATAATTTGACAGGGACCCAAAAACTCCGTCGTGTTGATTGGTTTCGTGAAATGGTTCAAAGATTTAACGGAGGTGACTCGAATGCTGTGTTCGACATACTTACGGGTGACGAAAGTTGCATTTATTGTTGTGATCCTGAAACTAAGAGACAGTCTGCTCTCCTTCCAAGGAGTTGCTAACTAAAGGGAAGAGAGGTCGAAAGTGGGAAAAAATATGGTGGCCTCGTTCTTCGGAAGGACAGGTCATTACGCAACAATTGTCTTAGAGGATGGAAAAATAGTTATTGCAGAGTGGTACACTAACAATTGTTTGCCACTTGTCTTGGAAAAAGTTCGGTAGAAACGACCTCGCAGTAGGATCCTCCTTCACCACGACAACGCCACGTCGCACACTGCCAAGCAAACAATCGACTAATTGACGACGTCAGACGTAGAATTACTGGGTCACCCGCCCTATAGCCCCGACCTTGTGATTTTTATTTATTTCCGAAAATAAAAGAAAAACTCCGAGGAAAACGTTTTATGGACGCCGAGGAAGCAGTGGCTGCGTTTCAAAATGCCGTCGAAGAGACCCCTAAGGACGAGTGGGCAAAGTGCTTTTCTCAGTGGTTCCATCGGATGCAGCGATGTATTGATGTAAATGGACACTATTTTGAAAAGATATAATAAAACTAATAACTTGTTAGTTCAGTTTTTGATTTTCTAAGAACTTTCAGTGTATCATGTATGAAATAAATAAATGAAAGTAGGTCGCCTGAATTGTGTTTTAATCAAGTCATTGGTTTTTAATCCATATTATATAATATGGATTAATTACATAATGGGTAAAAAACAAAAACCAAGACACAGTTATGCTTACAAGAGCAATGCAATAGGTGCAAAAACTACTTTCCCGAGGAAAAAGAGGGGTGTAAGTTTGACCGCTGTGTGTGTCTGTGGCACCGTAGCTTTTATACGGGAGAACAGATTTAGGTGCGGTATTTTTTGTTAGAAAGGTGACTTCATCGAGATTGTTCTTAGCTATGATTCAGTCGTTTGAAGATCATCAGCTCTTTTGTTTCGGGAGTTTTTGAAAAATTCAATGCTATGCTATGCAGAGGGCATGTTCGAGATTTCGTCGCGTTGCGTGAGACTTAGAAATGAGGATAGAACCAGAGTAAAAGACATAGCGCAACGGATTAGTAAGATGAGGTAGTAATGGGCCCATCATATAGCTCGGAAAACCTACAACCGATAGGGAAGAAAGGTTCTCGAGTGGCAACCTGGTGCCGGTAAGCGAAGGGCGGCGCCCACTAGATGGAGTGATGACATGGTAAGATATGCAGGAAGCCGATGGACGCAGGTAGCTCAGGACCGTGCTTTGGGGAATTCATTGGAGAAGCTTATTTGAACGTTTTCAACCCCCCCCCCCCCAACCCCAACCCTTTACATTCATTTAGTACACCTTAATCTAGGTCTTTAGGTTTTCTTTTTATTAATTCAGTTTGGTTTAATTTAAAAAAAAATTAAATTGTTCGAGGAAGTTTTTAAGTTGAAAATATTTGTAAGCCATACAAATACTTGTTCCGTGCGGGACTTGAACTCGCGGCCCTTAGCACTGCAACTCATTGCTAAGCCAGTGAGTAAGATATGTAAAGTTTTAAAATTGTCCCACATGTTGGGATGAACCTAATTTATTTCAGGGTGAGACACTTTCTGGAGCAGTAAGCCAGCTTAACTACTTCAGTGTATGCTGTGGGATTTTAAAAAGTAAGTGTCCTACCAATGATTCATTTACCTTGACAATTTCGTCTGCTTTTGTTGCTGTTGATGATAGACACAGCTCTGTTGCAATAGTTTTATTTGTCTTTACTTGTTTACCTATTTGTATGAAGTATAATATATGAAGGAACTTCATCTATTTGAAATAAATAACGGATCTGTGAACTGCAGAAATCAGTAAACTTGGCTGTTCTCCCTCCACGCCTACGGCTTACAAAAACACTCTAGGGGTAGGGCAAACAAGACTATGTGGAGTCGGGATGTTCTGATTCAGCTTTAGTACAAATTCGATCTATCTTATCTATAAAGTCAGGTTTCTTTAAACTCTGCTGCAAATAAGTTCAAAAACAGAGCAGAAGTTGTTGAAAAAACAGGTAAACACACCACTAAGCTTAAGAGAGGACATTTGTGACACTATGTCAAAAGAAGTTGTGACGGAAAAATCTTACACTTTTTCTTGCCTAGCCCCCATCCACCAAATTCGTACTGTCCTATAAGGAACTTCGCTCCAAAAATTCACAATTAATAGAATGAGGAGTTACTTTGGGTAAATCCATGGTGGTAGCATGAATGGGTTGGCTGGACCGGGGTAGGATCCCACTCTCACAGAATAACAGCATAAAATAGTAAATTTTGTATGGTGAGTGTAGAGAACCAGAACAGCGAAAGGGAATGGCAATTTTTTTCATCTTACTGAGGATTACGACTTAACAATTTTCGAGTTAACGAGATTCCACTGTACTAGTAACACTTTGTGATCTTAGACAACAATAGAAGCATGTGGGTCGCCTGACTAATATAGAAATTTTATTCTACTTAATTTTAACTAAACCTACAAAATAGTTTAGTTAATTTGTTACAATTATTGTGGACTCTTACTCTACAATTTCAAGTCCACTAGCTAGGGGCCACCTGCACTAGCCAGGAGCTACAGATATTATATTATTGTTAAATCCGAAACTTTAAAAATATTTATATCTCACCTTTGACATTGTATTGTAAGTTGTAATTAATGTGAATGGAATTGCAACTACTGTAAAAAAATAATTTAAAAAGCCCAAGAGTTTCTTGGAGGTTTGGTTTCTGAGAAGATCTTTTATTCATGAGTTGGTATAGATTTAGTTTAGTTTAGACTTAGTTTTACAAAAATTATCACTTAAACTCCAATATTATCAAAGCTAAATTAAATTGTAAAGTATACTTTATAGATTGAAAAATTATTGTCTAAATTGGTGCACAATACATTCAAATACAATACACATACATTAAAACATTACAATTGTATAATATTCTATGAAGTGAGTTATAAATAAAATATATTAACATAGCACACATTAAACTAAAAGAATTAAGAGTTAAAAATTCATAAAGCTACATGACTATGTGCCCACTTTAGTTGATTAATTATTGTAAATATTGTGCATTACAAAAATGTCCTCCAATATTAAATAATATAATCTATTAATGTAGAACCTTCCTTTAATATTATAACAGATAAATAAATGGTTTTATATCAATGAGGATATTTTTATATTAACCAATTTTAAATGTAAACTTAGTATGTATATTATAATACATAATATGTACCGTATCAAACAATTACAAAAAGATGAATTTATTTGATTTTAAATACTCCGAAAGGTTAACTGCCTAATCGTACGTGAAATTGTTCTGGCCTTGATACATCGTTCGTTTAGTTTCTAATCGCTCAAGTTTACTGTTTCTTAAATACTACAAAGCAATAGGTCAGAAAGGCATTCAAGTTCGACTTAATGAACCAGCACGGGCGTGTCATTTGGGAACACAGTACCGGTAGTTTCACCAGACCTAATTTAAAGAGGTTAGTAATATACTATAAAATAAGCAATATTTACTTACGATAGCGCCATTGTTTAAATTAGTAGCCTTCACGTAACCATTTTTGCGACTATTTATTTTTTCATTCACTGTTTTTTCTTCATTTCCATTACATTCTTGTGTTTTCGTTAATTCTGTATCGCTCGACCTGACACAACCTCTCATAACAACAGCCGCCATCGTTGTGTGATTTTTATGTTGTTACGATTTGTCAATTACAGCAGACATAGGTTACAGACCATACAGCCAAATTTGATGTATAACTTATTAAATTTTTCGCAATATGCTGATACGTCACATTGCGAAGTTTTTGGGAAATTGCGACGACTGCTTAACCCAACGAACAATTGAAGACCGAACTGGGATGAACGGAACTGAACGCGGTTTAAAATTTAGTGGCGTTGAAGTAAGTTGAGTACGGATCTTGGTTATTATTCAATGGATCGAGATATTGTAGTTAAGTAATAGAATAAAGGTAGTTATGCAACCACAAGACCATAGGGTTGTTAGGGTTTGTACCTAGAGGGGGCTGCATAAGCATTAGGCAGTATCCAGTAACTGTAGAGTCAGCGCTTTTGATTGCATGAGATATCAGGCAGAGCTCATGGGAGCGGCCACTTCGTTTTGACATCGACTTCTGTCAAGACGTATTAATGAAGTAATTAGAATTATAATTATTGTAATTAGAAATAAATAGATTTTAAATAGTTTTTAAAAAATCATTTTACGTTCCCGTAAACTTGACTAGGTTGTTTTTTTTTTGGAAAATATTTAATAGAATTGTTTGTTGTCTTTATAGTACTTAAAATCGCCTAAATATAGTCCCCGAATAATGAAAAGGAAGTTAAAAAAAAACTCGAGAAAGGCTGAAAATACTGAAAGTGGCGTGTGAAAATGTCGGCTTTTGACGAAATAGGTTTTAAAAAAATATTTGGCACCCCAAACATGTGTCCGAAAATATTCACCGGCTTTGCGGAAATTCGCGCTTTGCCTGAGTTTCATAAGTCCGCGTGCTTACAAATACATGCGACAGCAGTTTAACACTTGCCTTCCAGACCCATCCACTATCTTCATGGTACAGGAGTGTTGATGCCAAACCAGGGTTCACCACAGAATTTCTAGATTGTATTAAATTACTAGCGGAACGAAAGGGAAAACAATTGTATTGCGCCCTATGCATCTAAGAGATAGCAATAAGGCAGCATGTTTAGTGGGATAGCGAAAAATGTGTCGGTCTAGTGAATTATGGGAAAACTTTAGATGGTTATACTTTTTCTGAAGCTAGAGAAGCGTTGGTTTTTATAGTTACATGCATTAATGATAGGTGGAAGATTCCTGTTGGCTATTTTTTAATTAACGTCTGCAATGGAGAGCAAAAAGCAAATTTGATAATACAATGTGTAAATTTATTAATCGACTGTAGTGTAGTTTTGTTAGTTCTGACGTTCGATGGGTATGCTTTGCGGTGGCAAAGACATTAAGGTGCAATTTTGAAACATCTGTGAACATCGTACCATTTTTTGTAATTAAGGGACAAGAAATAGCAATTATTCCTGACCCTGTCCATATGCTAAAGCCTGTAATAAATACCCTTGCTCAGAAGACTATTTATAAAATGCTCATGGGGAAAATATTTCATTTAATTTTATAGTAAAATTGAACGATCTTACAAGAAAATGACGGCCTTCATCTGGCAAACCGACTTAGAAGTCAACACGTTAAATTTACTAAACAGATAAAGAAAGTGAAATTAGCAGCGCTGAGCAAACGTTTAGAAAGTCAGTGGCTGATTCTATAGTTTTGTGATAAAAAATTAAATTTTTATCACAAAACGACACGTGTTTCGCCTCTACACGAGGCATCCTCAGAGTCTATATCACCTGAGGATGCCTCGTGTAGAGGCGAAACACGTGTCGTATTATCATCAGTGGTGTGTCTTGCCTAGTGTAGTGGTGTTGGAAGTAGCGGTGCTGGGTTTAGTGGTGACGGGGATAGTGCACGCAATTGAGGGAGGGCGGGAGGTGCTTCTTCATACTAGGTAAGACACATCATTTTATTTTATAACGCGGATATTTGCAAAGTAAATTTTTGTAAAAGCTTTTATATAATGGATTTCCGCAAAGTAACGCCTGATTCTATTAATTATATACATATTGTGTTTTCATGCGATGGCCAAGTCAATCTATTTATTTAAAACATAAAAGATTTTTAATATTGATATGGTCACTATAAGATGTTGTTAGGTTAGATAATTACATAATAACTTGAGACAGAAGGACCCTTAAGTAGGGACTGAATAAATTAACCGACTTGGTGGTATATTGACTTGGACATCTAATAACATGGATTTCACAACTTTTTACGGTAGAAGAACTGAGTTGCGAGACTTGGTTTTTTTACAAGTTATATTTTTCATGGCTTCTCATTTCTTTTTGTAGATAGTCTAACTTTTTTTCCTTTCCGGTACCTTCTACTTCTTGAATATCAACTACGGATTTTCGGGCAATTTAGTCTACTTAATACTTTGCGTGATTTTGGTACAACTTCATAAGACATGTCCCATTCTTGCTTTTTCATTCCGTTGACCATTTTACAAGTTACCTTTGAACATAATTATATCTAGGTACCTATCTACATCTATTATTTCATATACAGGTACACTGATTCAATCACTGCAAATGAATACATTTATTTAGGATTACAAAGTTATTTATGCAGTTGGTGTATCTAGAAAACTGAACAGTAATTACAAAATATTTTAGATTTTCCTTGATTAATACACTAAACACTAATTGTATTTTAAATTTGAAGCTTGTATGTCTGCTAGAAATGCCTTAGAGTTTTGATGATCGGTCAGTCAGTGAGTGAGTGACAAAATTAAGAAACTTTGACTAGTTATAATTCTAAAACTACTGGTACAAATTGAATGAAATTTGAAACATACCGTATTTATGCAATGCTTGCTTGGTTTCTGAAAATTCAGGCATCTAGTATTATCCACAACGCGCAAGTTAAAGATGGTACGGCCGTGCCGCTTTTTTTTTGCTCGACTTGGCGGGAGCACTGCCGTGCCTCTAGATTATGTTCTGTACACAGTAGTTAATTTTTTTAATTACATGCCTACTTTTTCTACACGAATTGGGTAAATGAAAAAAAATAAAGTAGTAACACAAAAATTAAACTATATCTTCTATCTCATGTGGCCACGCTAGGCCATCGTCTATACGTCTATACCATTCTCTGCCTACGTATCCATAGACTTATAGTATATTTTAAGTCTTTGTACGTATCTATAGCATTTAGACCGCGAACTCAAAAGCTTATGGGTTCGACTACTGTCTTTTTTGTCTATAAAAAAATACTATTGCTAGTAATTTTTTTTAATACAGTTTTTCCTATTATCTCGGTCTCCTTTTTGTGCGATGCTGGTGAGGTTTTTTATAGGAGAGGGAGCAAACGAGCAGATAGCTCACCCAATGGTAAGTGATTACTGCCGGCAATGAATAACTGCAACATCACGGGAGTTGCAGGTGCATTTCCGGCCTTTTAGAAAGGAGTAAGCACTTTTCTTGAAGGTCCCTAAGTCTTATCGGTCCGGAGTAATTGTCGGTGGTAAAGTATTCCCCAGAGAGGTCGTACGCGGAAGAAACCTCCTAGTGAAACGTACAGTGGTGGACCGCCAAGCCTCCAGATGGTGTGGATGGTATCGGGGGTTTTGCCGCGATGTGCTTTCGAGAAATTTGGCGGCTGGGATTAATCCGAACAATTAAGCAGAGCACTCCCCGTGGTAGATGCGAAAGAAAATTCAAAGGTATGCAACATCTCTTCGCAGTATCAGTGAATCGACCGATCGAAAAGGACTCGATCGTCGACGATTCGAGCCGCTCGGCGCTGGATGCGGTCAAATGGAAGGAGCTGGCACTGAGAAACCTTAGCCCTGAGATGGGAACAGTATTCCATGTGAGGCCGAACCCGTATCTTGTAAGTGTCCCGCCCTGCTGAGCACGGCAAGATTTTTAGAAGCCAATTTGACCTTCTCTTCCAAGTGACCACGAAACTGCACGTCACTGGAAATGTCGACGTCGAGCATTCCGATACTGACTAAGGCAACAAGGGGAGTGCCTTGAAACTGAAGAGATACGACAAAATGGTTATTTTTAGCAGTAAACGTGCAAACTTGTGTCTTCTTCTGGGGATTGAACTGGAATATATTTAGTCGCCCCCAATGCGAGACTTTGTTCAGCAAGGACTTTACTTCAGACACAAGTTTGTTCCGGTACTCGGCGACGTTTTCCCGAGAAATAATGGCACGGCTGGTGCTTTCGTCTGCCGGTTTGAAAAATATCATTCATATGTAGAAGAAACACCGTTAATGATCGTTGAACACCAGCGTTAATTGGCTTGTAATCGGAGCATGCACCGCCTACAACGACCTTAATGCTCCGATCTGCAAGAAAACTGGTGATCCAACTGCACGATTTCACGGTAAGCTAAGCTAGGAAGGAAAAATGTTGATATAAAGAGAGAAAAAAAAGAGAAGATGGTTAATATAACTTATTTATTATATTAATATACTTTAATAAAACCGGTTATTGCAAAATAATCCTATAAAGTGAAGTGAGAGTTTAAGGCGTTTAGAAGTTTATTATTTATTGTACCTTCGTCTAGTCCGCACTCAAATTTAAATATCTATAAAATCTTAAGTTGCCATATATATATATATATATATATATATATATATATATATATATATATATATATATATTATATTATGTAATACATGTACTATATTTAGGATCATTTCTGGGGATTGGATTTCCACATAATATTTTTTATCGACTTCAGACTTTTTTTCTCAAAAGTTCAATCTGACATCTGATGGACTTTAGGAAGAGAAATAAGATCATGATGTATCGTTTATTTTTAATTAGGAGACCAAGGAAAATACTGAAGAGACTGAAGTACACTACTCCTAAAATAAATCATCATAATCATTACAGCCCTTTACAAGTCCACTGCTGAACATAGGCCTCCCCCAAAGAATGCCACAAAGCACGGTCCTGAGTCACCTGTATCTATCGACTTCCTGCATGTCTTACTAGGTCGTCACCCCGTTTATTGGGGACCGCCCCACATTTGGCCTACCGGTACGAGGCAAAAAAACGCAAAAACCTTGCTTC